TGGGACCGGGAGGACGAGGTGGAAGAGCGGGGCGAGCCGAAAACTCGCCACCAGCTCGAGAGGATGCACGCGGTGTTCCGGAACACCCTCCTCATGTGCGTCCTATCGTTTCCACAGTTCGGCCAGTTCGACATCACCCGAGAGGACCTGGAGAGCTGGTATGAGTGGTTCTATGGGGAGGACATCGGGGGCCGTTTTCCCCCTCCCGAGGACCACGTCCTGGCAATTGCCGAACGCAATGCATGGCGGAAGATTCACGAGCAGATGCATGAGGGCAGCACCCTCAAGGCGGCCATGCTGTCGGTAAGGCAGGACACATTGTTTTGGACACGTGAGGTCTATGAGAAGATCAGGACCTTCTCCAGGGGCCGCCCACAGACCAGGACATCCATGGACTACGCACCACCCCAGAAGGGCAAGAACAAGTCCAGGGGCAAGGGGAAGTCCAGGGGCAAGCCTGGGAGCAAAGGGAAAGGTAAGCCCCCCCAGCCGAACAATCAGGCCTCCAGGGGCAGTAACAAGCAGGCGGCCACCGATCCGAAAGGGAACCAGTTCTGTAACAACTGGATGCGCGGGCGCTGCCCGGGCAACTGCGGACGCACGCACAAGTGCAACCTCATCCTGGCGACGGGCCGCATCTGCCTGGGAGACCACCTCCCGCAGGACTGCCCGGGTTGACTAGGGGCTCGGACCCCGACCCCCCGGGAGGCCTCAGGTGCCGAGGGCCCTGTAGGGCCCGGGGGGGCGAGAGGGGGCGAAAACGCCCCAAGCAGGCACATGAGCCCCCTCCTGCAGGTGCCGAGGGCCCTGACACAGGGGGGGGACAGGCCAGGCGGCGGCCCTCCTCGGCGGAACAAGGATGGGGACGACAGAACCAGCGTGCACAACACCCCAGCTGGGGTCAGAACAACCACACAGCTGACACAACGGCAACGCCGCGGCCCCGTGCCACAGGTGCCGAGGGCCCTGAGATGGCAGGGGCGGGACGGTTCCCCGCAGGTGCCAAGGGCCCTGACACGGGGGGCCGCGCCCAGCAGGCCCGAGTGCCGGACAACTGGCAGCACACCGCAACGCCGAGGAACACGCCCAGGAGGCAGCCGGTCCCACTTCCGGCGCCCAACATCATCAAGCAGGACCCGGTGGTTTTTCATAAGAGTTCTGTTGGGCTGAATGAAGGGGGCCAACGCTTTTCAGCTACCCCCCTGACAAGTCCCACGGAGCTGTCACCGGGAGGGGACACCTTCCCGTGGATGGAGAACATCCCGGAGCGCCTGGCACAGCGGCTGAGATGGACACAGGGCACATCGCCCAAAGTTCCATCCAGTGGGCCCATCATTGTCCTGCTCTATGCAGGCAAGGAAGACCCAACTTCCTTAGACAGCTGTCTTCATGCCAACTACCCGCACCTCTCCAGCATGGTGGTGGCAGTAGACATCCTACGATCCGGACCAAAAGGGAACCACGACATGCTCCAACCCGAGCTGTATGGAGCGCTCTGCACGGCAGCAAAGCAGGGCCGAGTGGTCTTCATTGGGGGAGGACCCAACTGCAGGACATGGTCCATCCTGCGCCACATACCAAAACCGGGGGCCCCCACCCCGGTGCGAGGACGCACTCGAGAGACACTTTGGGGCCTCCCACACCTGGACCAGGCCGCCCAGACTCAGCTTGATGAGGACAGTACCCTCATTTTGAGGCAGATGTACATCACCAGCCTGGCAAGGGCCTCAAGATCGGCGGCCTCGCTGCCAGGGCCAAAATCCTTCTTGGAGCACCCGGAGGACCCAGTGGTGAGCAGCTCGCTGCCCAAAGCCAAGGAATGCTCATCCTTCTGGATCACGGAGGAGGGGCAGCTTTGGATGGAGGAAAACTCCTTGACAGCAATCTCCTTCGACCAGTGCCGCCTGGGCCAGCTGGTCAAGAAGGCCACCACACTTGCCACGGATCTCCCAATCCAGGACTGGGATCAAATGCGGTGCACACATCAGTCACATGTGGGCACCAGCGAGTCCTCGACTCTCAGCAGATACCCCTGGGATATGATGGCAGGCCTGGCCAAAGCCATCGCTGTGTCACTCGCAGCGCCGGGGCACATCCGGATCCCCTCACAATTCCCGGGAAACCCTAAGGAACCACCTAAGGGAAGGGGGTCGGACCCCCCTGGGGGCCCTTCTCCCCGGGGGAAACGGGGACCCAATCAGGGAGGCGGTCCCTCCTCGTCACACCAGGGCCCAGAGCCCGGAGGCAAGAATGCCCCGAAGCCCCGCCAGCACGGGCACATCCACCATGAGGCTGACACCGTAAGCCCTCGTGGAACTATGAGTCCAGACTTCCCATCTCCCATGCCCCCGATGGCCGGAGATGCGGAACAACTGGAAAAGGAAGAACATGGGGACCAGGTCCTGGACCGCCCCGAATGTCCTGCCCGCTTTCCGGGTCCCACGCCTCACTGACCGAGTTGCGATTGTCCAATTGGGTTTCCGTTCACGCCCCCTGAGAGATGGGGGGGGGAAACCTTCCCCGGGGAGGCTCAACCCCCCTTTTCGGAGAGTTTCCCCTTTGGCTACTTTGGGCGCCCTGATCATGACCCTTACCAGGCCCTGGATTGATAAGGTCCGGATGTCCCTGGCATCAGGTGCCACCACACACCCCTTCCAGGAAACCGACCTCGAGGAGCTGCGGGCTATCCTAGGACCGAGGCACCTCCATGAACGATGCCCAGGACAACCCTTCCTCCTGGACTTAGTGTCGCACTTGGCATCCCTTTCAGGTGACCCTGATTGGGAGTTCCCCCTAACACTGAAAGAGGGGGTCCCCTTGGGAGTCTCGGACCCTACCTTGACCTCCCCGGGAGTTTGGCCCACTAAGGAGGAGCTTAAGGGAGAAGCCTGGCTGGGGGAAGATCCCCCCCCGCCAGTGGCTCATGATAACTACCCAACGGCTGAACTCTTTGCCAAGGAAATCGAATCAACCTTTTACGAGGAACGAGCCTTGGACATGGTGGACGGTCCCTTCACTCGCTCCGAGGCGGCAGAGAGGTGCCGCTGCAAACCGGAGGAACTTTGCCCGGGCCCCCTTGCAGGGATTGATGAGTCGGACAAGATCAGGACGATCTATGATGGCTCAAAAGGGGGAGCAAACGCACACATCCAGGCTCACACGGAGGAGAAGACCACCGCACCGATGGTTGGAGACTGCCTCCATGCCATCCACTGGCTCAGGACAGCGGCGGACCATCCTCATCTACTCCGAGCCCCATCCTCGGGCACTGATGAGGAACCTCGGGATGTTCACCAGCCGGTGCAGGGGCAGTCCCCAGGTGCCGAGGGCCCTGAGAGGGACCCCCACAGCACCAGCCTGCCCCCAGGTGCCGAGGGCCCTGATAGGGGCAGGCGGATGATGGAGACCTCCGGCGGCCTGGACGTCTCTCCGCGGTCAACACCCTCAGGGAAGGGGCCACTCCCAGGTGCCGAGGGCCCTGATAGGAGGGCCCCATTCCCCCCAACCCCCCCAGGCACGGAACGCCCTGGGGGGAGCAGGGGGGAACCCCTGACGTGGCAGCCGCCGACACAGGGGGAAACCTTCATCATCCTCAAGGCGGATGTCACCAAGGCCCACAGGCGCATAAAAGTGCTCCAGAAAGACTGGAAATACCAGGTGGCCTGCATCCAGAACCGGTGGTGGGTCAATAGAGTGGGCACGTACGGCATGGCCTCGGCACAACTGTACTGGGGAAGAAAGGCATCCTTGGTGCTCAGACTCTTGTACTACATCTTCCCTCAGGTGGACTGGCACTTAGTTTTTGTGGACGACTACTGCTGGGTCCTCAGATGCAGCAGGGCGGACTGGGACGCCACAGCCATCCTGGCCACTCTTCTGGCGCTGGGAGTCCCGCTTTCTTGGAAGAAGACGGCGCTCTCCCCGGTCAATACCTGGTTGGGATTCGTGGTGGACCCAATCACGCCCTGTGTGCTGCTGGCTCCAGTCAAGCACGTCATAATCCTGGCCACTCTCAAACGGCTGGCCCAGGGGGACATCTTTACCAGCAAGGAGGTGGAACAAGCCCTGGGCCGGATTCAATGGGCTACTTCGGCGTGTCCATTGACGAAACCTTTCCTCCAGCCCTTTTGGAGCTGGAAGAAGGCCTGCACCACTTCGGGCAGGCCACCGAAGCTGGTTCGTGCTCTGGCCATCCTTCTGGGGAAGCTCTTCAACCAGAGGTTCCCACTGGCATCTCCATTTGCTCCCACACTTCCATGGACGGGGGCATCTGATGCGGGAGCTGGCAAACAGGCGGACCATGCATGGGTTGGTGGTTGGTGCTCGGACGTGCCCAACCCCGACAAGTCCCGAGTGAAGTGGTTCCAACACAGAATCACACCGGAGGGCGAGCCGTGGGCCTTCACTACTGGGGACCCGCAGCGGGCGATAGCGGCCTTGGAGCTCTTCGGCCTCCTCCTTTTGGTGAGGGCTGTTCTGCTTTGTGCAGCCGGCTCGGCTTCTCACACTAGGATTCTGGTTGCTAGTGATAACCAGGGAAACGTTTTCTCCCTGCTTAACGATTCCACTCGCAGGATGCCCAATGCGGCCATCCTCATGGAAATTGTGTTAACACTGCATGACCACCAGGTCATGTTAGGACCGTCGCATGTGAAGCGCGACTTTAACACATGGGCGGATGAACTTACTCATCCGGACCCGCAATTTCCGACTGAGAACCGGGTCTTCCCCTCAGTCGAAAGCGAATTGATCAAGCTGATCTTCGCTACTTTCCTTCCTCACCCATGATGCCGGGAGGGCATCCGGTGAGGTGGGAGGATTCCTCCCTCGCTGTGGGAGTGGCATCAATCCTACTCCCATCAGCTGCTGAGGGGAGCTGCCCAGTGGAACTGGGCAATCCTCCCATTTTGGCACTAACCCTTATGCGGCAATAAAGGAGGCACCGTTTTGCGAATAAGGCCTCAGTAGCACCTGAGTGGTGCTTCAAAGAGTCATCTGAGGTTCGCCAGGTTCGCCCGGAAGAATGTGGCGCTGGGCTCAGGGCAGTGGCCACTTGCCGGTCGAATGAGCCCTAGCCGTCTCCTGGTTTAGGAGATCCATTCATTCCCAAAAGGCCGGCTTATTTCCCTGAGAACCAGCAAGAGAAAACCAAGGGCGAGAATGAGAAGGTCCCTGGAATTGGACCTCGTGGCCGATTTTTTCTCTTTTCAAGCAACCCAACAGCGGGGTTGGTCCACGCGAAGCAAGGCGCTGGTGGTGGAGCTCGCCACTGGGCTGCAGCTCGAGTCCCAGAACAAGGCTTTCTGGTGGCGCGATCTGGAGAGTCATGTTGGACACCGGAAGCGACTCTTACCTCTTAAAAACACAGCTTTTCAACTTTTTGGGTAACATGGGCTATATGTCTGCAAAAGGTTAACTTCCCCAACCTTGGAGTTTTAAGGGGTAAGTACTTTAACATCAGAGTTTGATTCGAACGAGAGATGGACAGAGGTCAAAACGTCAAAACCCCAACATCCCAATCGCCCTAGGGTTCGTGATCCGCTCGAATGGCTTAAATGGGTCCAAAAATCAGACGAAAACACCTGAATTCCTCTTTCAACCATGTCCTTGGTCGCAGGGACTAAAGGTCGGATTTCCAGCAAGGACCTCGGGGACGCTCGCTTCCTGGTGGCGACCACCCACTTGTACTGGGGCAGCGAGCACGAGGATGTGAGAGTTTGGCAGCACCTCGTCAAGATCTGAACCGTTGGTCAAAATCTGGAAGCTCGAAATTTCAACCAGCGCGCGAAATCTCCCATGTGCTGCCCCCCTCCCTCCCCGAACTATGCAAGGCTTGCCTAGAGGGACCACCTGGCGAGTTTCATGTGAGAAAACCGTGTGTTTTGGGTGTGCCTTGATGACCCCTGGGATTGTTTGGACCCCCCCAAAGGGAAAAAATGGTTTCTTGACAAATCAACTTCGAATTGGCAGGCCTCTTCACCTTGCGCAGTCTGCAATGTTTCAGCTCTTGGTGGGGAAAGGGGTTCATTTTTCAAGCAGTGCCTTAAGCACGTCACGCACGTTGGATTTTGGATTGACAAAAATCCTGCACCACCCTCATGCGCCGCTGTTCAACATTATGAACGTTAACCTATCTGGGGGACACGAGGACGGACTCTCGGCTTGGGGCTTTGGCGCCTCACAAGGCTCCAGACGCTGCTGGAGGCGGCGAGCAGCTTTGGCCACCAGCCGCTGGCTTTGTGCCACTCGGCGAGAGCTCAGAAGTCGGAGCCCAAAAAAGACAAACAAGGTGAGCCTTGCAGCCCAAAAGCAAGTCCACAGAATGGCCCCCCTTTACTGATGACTCCAAAGACTGGCGCTCGAAAACAAAAACCCCCTCCAACTTCTGTTTGGGCTGTGAAGAGTTCGTCATTTGGAAGGCCTTCCATTGCTATCACAGGTAATTCCCCCCAAAAAGGTGTTCCTTTTGGTTTTGGTTCCTTTTCAAGAAACAACCGGAAACTGTAGTTGGAAGGAACTGCTGTTGGTTTTCCCCACAAATCACATACCCATCATGCGAGTCTTTGTGGTTGGAGCTCGTTTTGGATGACTTTTGGTGACAAGTCTTCCTTATGGCGACAAGAACAGCCTTATGGGAGAGACGTGTGCACTGGGGAGCCGGGAGCTGGGAAACGTGAGTGTGCACTGCTGATTGCGTGTGCAGTTCTCATTCTCGGGCAGCAGTCGGTAGTGGAAGTTCTTGAGGTGCTCACAACGTGGCATGCGTTGCTGATTTTGTTCCCTTTGGAAAAGCGCGTGCTTGTCATTTTCCGGGCGCGGACGAGAGCGCCCTTTTGCCTTGAGGGGCATTTGCTGAGACAAGGTGCGGGTTTTGTCCGGCTAGAAGCTCAAGCCCAGGTGGGGACCTGAATTTGCTGCCCGGGGGAGACGCCTACAAGCTGCTGCGGAACGGTTCCTTGGACGTGCCCCAGAGGTTCCAAAACGCGGCCCGGCGGATGTTGGGCGTTTAGGGAGCCTTTTGAAGGATGGTACGAAAGCCAAAAGAAAGCAACCAGGATCTCGCACTTGCTGGAGCGGGTGGATTGCCAGGCTCGACCTGGGGGAAGAAGGTTTCTGAGACTACATTGCGATGGAAAGAGAGAGCGCCCTCCAGGTGACGTTGAATCCCCAAATGTCCGGCCCATGTGCCTCAATTCGGGTGGGGGTTAGCTTCCCGCTTTCTGCGAGCCCGGCATTAGGTGGAGCGCTTTCTGGTGGACCGAGACATCTCCAAGGCAGCCAAGCCTTTGCGCCTACTCGGCACCTCAGCTGAAAGGACCAACTCCTTCAGGTGGTTTGTTTCCGGATTCCTCTCAGACCAAGTCAAAAGAGGACCGTCAAAAGAGGACCACCCCTAAGGTCCCTACACCGTCCAAAACGAGGCACCAAAGTATCGCACTCTACGCGTGCCTGGGCTCTCCAAAATCCAACGGGTGTCCTGGGCTCCGAATGGTGCCCGGGCCTCGCAACATAATATCCATATGCTGTATGTTTCCGTGAAAGCTCTTTGAACCATAGGGCAAATGTGGAAAATCTGGGTGGGTGTATTTGTGTTTTTGTTGGTCAAATTCGGCGCTCTTTGTGTTTTTCATCCAGGTTTCCAGGCGCTGTTTGGTGAATGTTCAGGCCACCACCTGTCTGGACACTGAGAACCCATGGATACCTGGCACCTCCAGTGAGTTTTCAGTGATCTCGGGACTTTCCGCCAAAATTAGGTTCCTGGTCAGCGGAGTTCCACTCAAAAGGCAAGCCACAGAACACCAAACTCCCCATCCCCCAAACCCCCAGACCCACACACCCCAGACCCCACCCCAAGATTTGGTTCCTTTGCCCCAGACCCGCACCCCCCAAACCCGCCCTTTGCGTGCCACACTCGCGTCCAGGACTGGACGTGGTGGTGGAGAGCCCAGAGGAGCGCTTGCAGCGCCCGGAGGCGGCGCAGGGTCTGCGAGCGGCCACTCGGCAAAAGCTTTGGTCCCCCGCGATCTCTTTGGACCTAGCGGCATGGACACTTGCTTCCATTTGCTGAAATCAATATATTTGTTTTCCCTTGTTGGTTTTCTTTGGTGCATTTTGCCAAGGGATGTTGGGACTTTAACTTTTTGCCAACTAATGGGTTTTCCATCAAGCCACTAAAAGTTGAACTTTTAGCAGGGGAGCAGAAAGCAACCGAGACTTAGAGTATGCGTTGCAGCCAAGCGCCCAGCAAAAGCAAGTACCCTAACTGAATCAGGTTGCAAAATAGACCCCAAGTGTCCATCAATACCGGGGGGGCTCGATACCTCGATCAGTACCTTTGACCGTAACGTGTCCTGTGGTGGGTAACATGGAACAACAAACATGGAGCATCCTTTGGTGGATCCATGCGCTGTATTGGAGTAAGCGAGGCTTTTCCAAATGCGGAGGCCGCTTTACTGATGTTCATCAATCCCAATTAGGAGAAAAAGAGATCCTTCTTTAATTGGGTCGCCAAATGACTTCCCTCAAAATGCCTCCCAAAATGTTGACCTGAAATGGACAACCTCCACTTCGCACCAGTATGAAACCCCTAAGGCTGTGATACCTAGTGCAGATGTTGTTCATCCAATGAAATTACAATGAGTTGACTAGTGAGTTATAAACTTAAAATGGATGACTAGGTGGTAGGGTCGTAAAGCCATAGGCTCAAAATCCATACCTGCAAGCCTTAAATTAACCCACCCGCAACCCTAAACCAGCCCAAACTTTGGTGGACATCATGTAGGCTGTCCACCAACCAGACTCCTTATAAAGATTCATAGCCAAATGCTCTATTGAGCAAATTAAGTATCCCATGCTGATTGCCACTTTCGGCCGTGTTTCTGCGCGGGACGGCAATAAAAGCGGAAAGCTCAGCCCTGTAATGCGCATTTCGGTCGCATTTCACGCGGTGAAGAGCGGTGTCCTTTGGGAAGCAACGGACGAAGCACTTGATGAAACTCCGCTGCCAGGGTCCGCGCCCCGCGGCCCCAGGCCAAACTGCCAGTGGTGACCCGCGCAGCTCGCGAGCGCCGAGTTCTGGTGTCCGCCTCCAAAAGGCCGGGGGCTCCGTTGGGACGTTGCCGTTGGGTGACCTGGAGATGTCCGTTGGGTTTGAAACCCTTTTGGGATTTGCAAGCTTCTGGTTTGAAACCTTGGGGGAAAGTGAAAACAAGCAAAACCTTTTTCGACCTCGCAGTCCGCCAGCTTGATTCCGGGGACACGTGAAGTTGATTTTGGGACCATCGATTGGTCCATGCAATAAAGTTGCAGGGGAAGCAAAGAGAAACCAGCGTCAATTTAGGAAATTCGGGAAAAGGAGGAGCCAAAGATTTGCCCAGAAGGGGAAGCCGCATCTGCTGACTGTCGTACACATGAGCCACAGTAAAGCCGGTTATATTGGACAGGACTCCTTAAAAGATCGAATTTGGCCATTTAAAAGTTTTGTCTTGAACAAAAGGAAACCAACTTTTTGGGGTAGCACAGGAGACATCGTGCCATCAATGGCAAGAACTTCCCCTTCAGTTCCTGATGGGTTTTGCATACCCAGTCCTGATTCCAAGCAAGCTGTTTTTCCTGCCATCAAGGTGCCGGGCTGCATTTCGAGCCCTAGCTGATTGTTCTTGGAATTCTTGTTGGAAGAAATGCAAAAGCCTAGCTGAATTCCTAGCTCACTTCGGGCTCTCAACCAAAAAGGTTACAAAATGACACCCCAGGTAGCCCGGCGGTTTCCACCGTTCTGCCATTTGAGCTTTATGTCACCAGCAGTACAGAGATCCGCCCAGGTTTCACATTTGGCGTTTGAGAATTCGGAGGGTATGCAGTTGTTCAGAAAGCAAGTGGCGGATTCCAGTTCGACATGTTGGCCCCCCCCCCCCACCCCCCCCACTAAGTCCGATTCCCTCCTTTGCCCTGGAGGCTGGTGGTGCGCGCCGATGCGGCTCTCGCCTATTTCCTGGACGCCCGGGACTTCGAGCGCTCATTGGCCCAGCTCTGCGTTGCTGCTTGGAGAAAAGCCCAGGCAGGTCCGTTGAGGTTTGTGTGGCTCATGTTTGGCACTTTCAATATACCTGGACCCTCAAACTACCCATATGGGATACCACCACCAACCATAATTTCGGGGGTCAAGCCCATTTTTAAGTTGGAATTCTGAGGGTTCAACATAACTCCTTGCGCAAATTCCGGGATGCTGTTTACAGGACCTGGAAGGGATTTTTCTCCCGGAGTTCTGGGCCATGGAAAGAGAACCAGTGGCTCAGTGGCGCGTAGAAAATTCATTTCGGTGTCCTCATGCTGCCCCTTCCTCATTGGAAAGCTCCGGGACGAGCGCTTGGGTTGTCATACGAAGACCGAAACTTCAGGAGGTCGGCTTCCTGTTGGTTTTTCTGAAGAGCAGCCAAAGAGGGGCGGGGTTGGGACCTGCTTGTTGGACACATCCAATTGTCACCTTTCGATTGGCTCCCAAAAAGCAGCTCCAAGCAGAAACACACCAAAAAGAAAAGACGCACAAAAAACACACACCCCTGGTTGATTTCTGTAGGATCTCTCCGTGGACCTGGGGGAAGAGCACTTCTTCACCCGCTGCGTGAAATGCAATGGCCGGGTCTTCCCCCTGGCAGACACAGCGCAGGAGCTCAACAGTCCAAGAAGAATCCAAATGGCTTGTCAAAACCAATGGCACCATCTTGAGAGATTGACCCATGGCCACATTGATAGGATGCTTCGACTGTCGTGGGAAGTTGCCTGGTGGCTTGTCCTTCAATCGAGGGCGGTCCAGTGGTCCCGGTTCGTTGGTTGACTTTGAGGATTTTCAGAAAAATTGGGAAATCGAGGTCCTGTAACCATGGCAAGAAAAACCGCCCGCACAGATTCTGGTCGGCTCCTTACACGTTGTCATTGCAACCGCACTTGCTTGTTCCAGGAGAATGAACGAGCTGCGGCGTTTGGCGCACCAGGCAGCGTGCCGCTGTTTACCTGCGCCTTGGCTTTGCGACCTGAAACTACATAGCAGCAAGGCGTTGACCAACCAAAGTGTGGAAGTCGTCTAGGTGGAGCCAAACATATATCCACATACATATGAGCCACGGACAAAACACACGAAGACCACTTTATCAAGGCGGGGTACGTTTTTGCATAACACATGCCAAAACCATGGAAAACGATAAGGTCTCCCCCAAAACGATAACCCTTAGCTAACACACGGCTCTATAATAATCCCTGTAGTTGTAACTTAGTTAGGGTGGGACCCTTGCGTGGCCACCGTAAAACGAGAAGGCGAGTCGCCACTTTCGAGCTGGGGCTGCCAAGGTGTGCTTCGTAAATACGACACTTGTATTGAGAAGTTGCGATTTTCGAGCTGGAGCTGCGGAAGTGTATTTCGCGTACTTGACTTGTACTACAAAGTTGCGATTTTCGAGCTGGAGATGCGGAAGTGTATTTCGCGTACTGCTAGACTTGTACTACACAGTTGCGATTTTCGAGCCGAGCTGCGGAAGTGCACTTCGCGTACTAGGCTTGTACTACAAAGTTGCGATTTTCGAGCTGGAGATGCGGAAGTGTACTTCGCGTACTAGACTTGTACTACAAAGTTGCGGTTTACGAGCTGGAGCTGCGGAAGTGTACTTCCCGTACTAAACTTGTACTTCAAAGTTGCGATTTTCGAGCTGGAGCTGCGGAAGTTTCCTTCGCGTACTAGACTTGTAATACAAAGTTGCGGTTTTCGAGCTAGCGCTGCGGAAGTGTACTTCGCGTACTAGACTTGTACTACAAAGTTGCGATTTTCGAGCTGGAGATGCGGAAGTGTACCTCGCGTACTAGACTTGTACTACACAGTTGCGATTTTCGAGCTGGAGCTGCGGAAGTGTACTTCGCGTACTATTCTTTTACTACAAAGTTGCGGTTTTCGAGCTGGAGATGCGGAAGTGCACTTCGCGTACTAGATTTGTACTACACAGTTGCGATTTTCAAGCTGGAGCTGCGGAAGTGCACTTCGCGTACTAGACTTGTACTACAAAGATGCGATTTTCGAGCTGGAGCTGCGGAAGTGTACTTCGCGTACTATTCTTTTACTACAAAGTTGCGGTTGTCGAGCTGGAGATGCGGAAGTGTACTTCGCGTACTAGATTTGTACTTCAAAGTTGCGATTTTCGAGCTGGAGCTGCGGAAGTGTACTTCGCGTACTAGACTTGTACTACAAAGTTGCGATTTTCGAGCTGGAGCTGCGGAAGTGTACTTCCCGTACTAGACTTGTACTTCAAAGTTGCGATTTTCGAGCTGGAGCTGCGGAAGTTTCCTTCGCGTACTAGACTTGTACTACAAAGTTGCGGTTTTCGAGCTAGCGCTGCGGAAGTGTACTTCGCGTACTAGACTTGTACTACAAAGTTGCGATTTTCGATCTGGAGATGCGGAAGTGTACTTCGCGTACTAGACTTGTACTACACAGTTGCGATTTTCGAGCTGGAGCTGCGGAAGTGTACTTCGCGTACTAGACTTGTACTACAAAGTTGCGATTTTCGAGCTGGAGCTGCGGAAGTGTACTTCGCGTACTAGACTTGTACTACACAGTTGCGATTTTCAAGCTGGAGCTGCGGAAGTGCACTTCGCGTACTAGACTTGTACTACAAAGTTGCGATTTTCGAGCTGGAGCTGCGGAAGTGTACTTCGCGTACTATTCTTTTACTACAAAGTTGCGGTTTTCGAGCTGGAGATGCGGAAGTGCACTTCGCGTACTAGATTTGTACTTCAAAGTTGCGATTTTCAAGCTGGAGCTGCGGAAGTGTACTTCGCGTACTAGACTTGTACTACAAAGTTGCGATTTTCGAGCTGGAGCTGCGGAAGTGTACTTCCCGTACTAAACTTGTACTTCAAAGTTGCGATTTTCGAGCTGGAGCTGCGGAAGTTTCCTTCGCGTACTAGACTTGTGCTACACAGTTGCGATTTTCGAGCTGGAGCTGTGGAAGTGTACTTCCCGTACTAGACTTGTACTACACAGTTGCGATTTTCGAGCTGGAGATGCGGAAGTGTACTTCGCGTACTAGTACAAGTAAAGTGTACTTCGCGTACTAGACTTGTACTACATACACAGTTGCGACTTTCGAGCTGAGCTGCGGAGTTGTACTTCGCGTACTAGACTTGTGCTACACAGTTGCGATTTTCGAGCTGGAGATGCGGAAGTGCACTTCGCGTACTAGGCTTGTACTACAAAGTTGCGATTTTCGAGCTGGAGATGCGGAAGTGTACTTCGCGTACTAGACTTGCACTACAAAGTTGCGATTTACGAGCTGGAGCTGCGGAAGTGTATTTCGCGTACTGGACTTGTGCTACAAAGTTGCGATTTTCGAGCTGGAGCTGCGGAAGTGTACTTCGCGTACTAGACTTGTACTACAAAGTTGCGATTTTCGAGCTGGAGCTGCGGAAGTGTACTTCGCGCATTGAACTTCTACTACAAAGTTGCGATTTTCGAGCTGGAGCTGCGGAAGTGTACTTCCCGTACTAAACTTGTACTTCAAAGTTGCGATTTTCGAGCTGGAGCTGCGGAAGTTTCCTTCGCGTACTAGACTTGTACTACAAAGTTGCGGTTTTCGAGCTAGCGCTGCGAAAGTGTACTTTGCGTACTAGACTTGTACTACAAAGTTGCGATTTTCGAGCTGGAGATGCGGAAGTGTACCTTGCGTACTAGACTTGTACTACACAGTTGCGATTTTCGAGCTGGAGCTGCGGAAGTCTATTTCGCGTACTAGACTTGTACTACAAAGTTGCGATTTTCGAGCTGGAGCTACGGAAGAGTACTTCGCGTACTAGGCTTGTACTACAAAGTTGCGATTTTCGAGCCGGACCTGCCAAAGTTCGAAAACACTGTAAAACGATAAGGTCTCCCCCAAAAACGATAACGTTCACAAAAGTACTAGGGCCAAGTAAAGTGTTTTGTCCGCTCCTCATATGTGTTATTTGTAGACATGCGCACATCAGCTCGTTTGAATTGGACCACAAGTTGCAAACAACTGGATATGAATCCTTTGCATGAAAGCAGAACCCCAACAGCTAAGCTGTGCCAGGAACACGAAGATCCTTGTCCCAAGGCGCCCAGTGCGGGCAGATCTACTGGTTCTCCCACGACGAGGGCAGTGCCTCCGCGCGCGCCAGGTTGCAGGCGGGCCAAGAGGAGTCCAGTGCCTTTGGTTCCGGACAAAGGTCCAGTTTCTTCGGGAAGAATCATATGCCATGGCTTTGGAGTTTGGCTTTAGAAAGTCTTAGGTCGATGCGTTAAGAAATGGATTTCCGATTTTCACCGAAGAATGTGTGGGCGCGTTGGGCTTAATTGAAAAGTATGTTTTGACGGGTAGCCCCAGCCGAAGCTTAACCCCGGCCAGGTGGCTGGCTGGTTGGTTGGTTGGTTGGTTGGTTGGTTGGGTTGGGTTGGGTTGGGTTGGGTTGGGTTGGGTTGGGTTGGGTTGGGTTGGGTTGGGTTGGTTAGGTTGGGCGGCCGCATCCCAGCATCCCAGGTTCCTTGGTGTTTGGGCTGTGCATTTGGCTGCGATTTGGCAGTTGAGACCTGCTCAAAGTTGGCCGGCTGGTTGCTCAAAGCCGTGATTCTTGGTGTTGGTTGGTTGGTTTCGTTGACCGGCTGGCCGCACCAGCCTTGCTCGAACCCTAGGGCTGCCTATTTGGCTTTGCTTTGGTGGCAGTTGAGTAGTTCACGGCTGGTTTGGGACGACTGTTAGGCTTGCTGAGATCCTTAATGAGGGCGGGTCCTCGTGTTTTTGTCGGATTCATGCAGACTTGGCAAAGGGCTGATGTCCCGGATGCTGTTGGGTGGTTTAGGGTTGACTTCGAGTCTGTTTTGGTTGGAGCTTGGAGCTGATTTTCGCTCCCCGCATCCCGAAAGCAACTGGGGTCGGGAAGCTTCCAGGAGGTTTAATTTGGGGGCCAGCTTGAACCCGTGTAGGAGACTTGCCATTGGCAGGTGGAAACCCTCGTGAAGCTCGTGGGCCAGTTGAAGACAGAGAGTATTTAGCTCGCATTAGCCGTTTCCCACCTCAGACAGTGGCTGACGAGTTGCGAGCATTTTGTTGTGAATGCCCTTCAGATGTGACGCGACTGCGTTTCTTTTGTGTCCCCCAATGACATTCGACTTTGGCGAGCCGTGGTTTTCTCCTGGCCTGCAAGCCTTGGCTGGAGGGAAAGTCAGTGGTAGACCGAGGCACAGGAGATGTGCACAAGGACAGCACACGCAGCTAGTCCTTTCAGCCACCTGAAATTTCCGCGAGTTCGCAGACCCTGACAAAGAAAGAATGGTTCAAGTCCAGAAGACGTTTTGCAAGTGTGGATGTTGCCAAAAGGAAACAAACTGCTTGGAATCCTGCTGCTGTAGGAGACTCTTTATGTTTCGACCATGGCAGGGCCGGGAAGATCAAGTTGAGGTTGGACAAGAGAATTAGCGGGGTTCCCTTGTTGGATGGAAGGGAAAAGAGCCAGAAACCAGCCATGTTCAAAGGTTTCCCACTCAGAAAGATCCGGCGCAGGACACTCAGGATGGCTCCGCCGAATTCCTGCGAAACGGCGGCGGTCGAAACTTGGCAGAGGCCAAGGTCGCAGTCTCCTGGCGCTCCGGTTCCACGGTGACCTGAACGGTGTGTTTCGGGTGCGTTGTGAACCGAGGACTTCGTCATGACTGGAAGCTTTGCTCAGCCTATGAGGACCGAGTCGGTTTTGTTTTTTTTTTCTTCGGGTATCACAGAGCTTCCTGACCAGGACGTGGAGTTGCAGTCAGAGGCCGTGGTGAGCAATTCAAAGTATGGAGCCTTGACGCAAGTTAGCGGATTTAGGCCAAACCTCGCCCAAGGAATCAGGCACCTTTTGGAATCTTCTCATTCTGCGCCGGCTGAGTTGAGTTGAGTGGTATCTACTGCCTGGGTAGTTCATTCCGCCCATCTAAGGTCTCCCTTTGCAAGGCAGCATCCCTAGCATCCCCTCGTCTCCCCAAACATCAGCGTGCACATCCCCAGCATCTCCAAAAATCACAGGGTTCACAAAGTTTGCCTGCGGGCAACTCCTGCCAAGAGCAAACTGAGGATTCCATGGCTGCATTGACTACATTTGGTTGAGCCTGGGCCTGAGTGTGTTGGCAATGGCTCGCCTCTGTATAGTCGAGGAGACACTTGTTTGATCAGGCAAGGACTCACAACAAACTAGGAGTCGCGCGAAGATGGGCGTTTCATGCTGTTTTTAAGGTGCTGCTCAGCTGTTGCCACATGGCTGTGGCTCAAATAAATGTACCAACATTGCACCTTGCTAAATGGAACCAAAGAGCAAAACCGCGTAACCTTAGCTCTTGAATTTTGAGCCACAGCCACATTGCTACCCATGCCATTATGTGGGTCCGCGTCGGAGGTGCCCTGTCTAGATGCAACCAGTAAGCAGCAGAGGGCTTACGGATCCGTGGTTGTTTTTGCCTATTCACTTTGCAGGTCCTTGCGGGTGTAATATTCTCAAGGGCAGTGCGCGCTTGAAGCTGCAGACCAACGTGAGAGCCTTGTGAAGAGCAAGATTTCAATAAAACTGAGCGTTCGAAGAGAAGGATGCTTCAACTTTTGGTTCTGTCTTTGTTGTGAGTAAGTGGTTTCACGTTGATTCGACAAGTTCATTCTTTCTTAGAGCAGCACCTTACGAGGTAAGTGAACCCGAGAAACCGACCTCCGAGAACGGCACACGAGGTTCGGACTTCTGCCCGCAGGGTCGTTTGCAGCTGCCAACCTGCTGCCAGCTGCAGGAGGAGTCGGGGGGAAAGCGGCAAGGATGTTGGGCAAGAGTTAGGCCGGACTTTGGTGATGATTTCCCTCGCTGGGGCTGAATCAAAGTGGATTCCCCAAAGTTTGCCCCACGTTGGACCTTCAAAAGTGGCAGTCAATCATTCGCTGACTGGGATTCATTCAACCGGCCGTCCAGGTAGGCGGATCGTGTTTTTCGGCGACGCGCATGTTGCACTTTGGTCTGTTTCGAAGATTCCTCCTCCAAACGCCCTACGAGGCGTGTCCGATCCGACGTTTTGAATTGTGTCTGCACATCCGCCGAGGACAGCACCCCGACAGGGGGCGGTCCAAATGACTATTGATTTCACGTTGATTTCCTTTCGGTTTTTTCCTGGCTGCTGTTTTGGTTGTCTTGTACTTTCCCAACCGGTATGATGTATGAGCATGAATGTTTGTCGTGGTGTCGCTTTCAAAAAGCACTTGAGTTGGACTTGAAGGGGCCTCAATTAATTTGCCGAAGCCACTACAGGATGCTGCTGGTTGACACCCTTACTTCCGCTCAGCGGGCAAAGTTTAATTGGCATGAGTTTGCGGTAGTTGATCTAAATGTCCATCCATCCATTTCAAAATGTCACTTTTCGGATGGCTGTTATCAAAAACTGCCAGCCAGCTGATTGACTTTTTGGTTTCTTGCTGCAAACGCACACCCAGCTACTTCAGTTTGGTCCGCATGGCCCCGGGTATTTCCAGCTCAGTCCATGCTAGGATCCAGAGAAGCCTTTGCCATCTCTGGTGTCCCGTGGCTGGCCTTCAGATCACTGGCCTCTGGCCTCTGACCTGGGCCTTCGGAAAAAAGCGTGCGGTCTGAGCCATGTGCTTGAGAAATAATGGGACGCCGGCAGTGCCCGAGAATAGTAGGATGTTGTGAAGTGTTTTTTGTTCATCACTTGCTGCGAACTTGGCGAACTTGCCGATCTGAAGATGTGAACATGTTGGAGCTCCGACGCCAGGTGGCTACTGCCACTGAATCCTGAATTCAGATGAGCATATGCTATTTTCCCCTGTGGCTGCTCTAGCACCCTTGCCACAAGGCCCTTGCCCAGATGTCTTGCTCTGGTCGTGGAAGGGGGCAACTTTTGCGATTCCCCAACGGAGGTTTTCATTTGCGAGCCGTGGCTGGAACCAAGCAGTGCTTAGGCTCTGAATGTGTCAGTCACACTGATAACATCCTTCAATGGAAGGTCATCTCAGGTCGCTCAAAATGGAGGGTGGCAACGGCAACTGTTGTTTGGCAACATTTAGGTGTGGCTCAAAATTAAACAGGAGGGGTTACGCAGGTTTTGGTCCATGTTTCCACTTACCAGGGTTCCATTTTGGTACCGATTTTTTGAGCCACAGCCATTCGAGACAAGTAGTTATTTATTTGATTTGAATGACACAAGTTGCGAAGCCGGATCATCCCCCAGAGACTTTCTAGACTCTCTTTCTTATTGTCATTGGACATAAACTGATATACTAAATTCAATTATGGTTGTATTACCTGATGTATGTATACAATATTGTAAATATGTTTATAAAGGAATATAAGGAAGAAATGGTTAGAAACGTATTATTATATTGAGTTATAAATTGTTGTTGTTGTTTTGTGTGTGTGTATGTGTTATTTAGTTTTATTAAAAAAAAGAACAAAAATTATTGTTTATGTTGATGTTGTTTAAAAGGGTTGTTGCTTAGTATTGTTAACTTTAGGGGGGGTGGTTTTTTTGTAGGTTATGAATAAGGTGAGGATTGGATATTTTAATAAAAAATATACATATATATATTGTATGATTTGGTAAAATTTTATATGTTTTGTTTGATTTTGTTTTATTTGAATTATATATTATAGGATATGTTTATGAATATATATATATTAAAATTGATTTGATATGTTTTTAATATTATATTTATAATATTATTTATATTATTAATACATATTATATTTATGGTTTTATAATAATATAATAATACAATAATAAATATTATTATAATGATATATAAGGTGATGATAATGATAATGATAATAATTATTATTATTATATTTTCATTTTTTTTTAAAAAAAATTAAAAACATATATAACGTTTTCCAAAATGGTAGGTAGGGCCTAATTACAAAAATTATAATCCAAAAATATAATATTAATAATTATTTAAATAAAGAAAATATTTAATAATTTATTTCGAAAATATATTATATAATATGATTTATTATAGTTTAATTTAATATTATTATTAATACTAATTTGATTTATTATTAATTTTTAAATATATAAAAAATAATATATTAAATATAGTTAATAATTATATAAAATTTATATTATATTTTTATTTAATAATATAGATATATATATATTGTTTAAATTAAATATATATATTTTAAATTATATTTATTATATGTTTTTTTTGTTTTATTAAATTATATATATATCCATCTTAATACCTATAATATATTCCAAAATCAATTCTAACATATTTAAATCCGCCGATATTGCTCGGCGTGTCGGATACTTACTAGAGGATAGAGGATAACCCCCCCGCCCTAACCCCCCCCCGCCCGACGTCTATTACGTAGGTTTTTGGGGGGGGGGGGTCCCCCACGTACCGCGCGGCAATTTGATGACGTTCCACTAAACGTAGTCTTCGGGGAGCCGGTGTCGCAAAACAGGGGTCCCAGGCTCGATTCCCCCTGCCGGCTTTTTTGCTGGCTTGGGCTTCCTGCATCCTTTTGCCGAAAATCTGGAAAATCTCAATGGTTTTGGACGTCCTCTTTGCGAAAACGCTGGAAAAACCGTGTTTTTTGCGGGAAATACATACATACATACATACATACATACATACATACATACATACATACATACATACATACATACATACATACATACATACATTACATACATACATACATACATACATACATACATACATACATACATACATACATACATACATACATACATACATACGTTACATACATACATACATACATACATACATACATACATACATACATACATTACATACATACATACATACATACATACATACATACATACATACATTACATACATACCTTACATACATACATACATACATGTATACATACATTACATTACATTACATTACATTACATTACATTACATTACATTACATTACATTACATTACATTTACATTTACATTTACATTACATACATACATACATTACATACATTACA